GAAGACAGGAGATACATTTGTTGGTTTTATGTGGAGTTTACTGTTGTCTAGTCGGTTTGATTACCTTAACATTTTCCTTGCTTATCTCCATTCTTGACTTCACCGTACTGTATCATTCATTGGTTTTCTATATATAACTAATTAGTAAAGTAGGCATGCAAGGTTGTGAGAATGATTGTTAGGGGATTACTCCAATGTTTTCATGTAGTTTCTAATCAGTCTTTTGGCTTCTATATGTTTCTCCCTCTACTTCCCATCTTCTATGTACTCCTTTATCATCATCATGATTATAGTTACCCTCATTATTTCCATTAATTCAGCATTTGTATTAATATTGAGTAATGACAACTGCATTAGAATCTTAAAATGAATAAATTGAGTAATGGTCTTGTCTTGTTCTCCCTTTCATCTCTTGTAGATAGTGAATGAGCTATTGCAGCTTCCCGACACCAATGTCAATGCATTAAACCGAGAGCACAAGACAGCCTTTGACATAGCAGAAGGACTCCCTCTTTCTGAAGAATCCTCTGATATGAAGGAGTGCTTGGCCCGCTGTGGAGCGGTAAGGGCAAACGAACTTAACCAGCCAAGGGACGAGTTGAGGAAGACAGTGACAGAGATTAAGAAAGATGTCCATACTCAGCTAGAACAGACAAGGAAAACGAACAAGAATGTAAGCGGGATTGCTAAGGAGCTGAGAAAGCTGCATAGAGAAGGGATTAACAATGCTACTAACTCGGTAACTGTAGTTGCAGTGCTGTTTGCTACAGTGGCTTTTGCAGCTATTTTCACAGTGCCTGGTGGGGACACTGATGAAGGGATGGCAGTGGTGGTGGGGCATGCATCTTTCAAGATATTCTTCATATTTAATGCTGTTGCGCTCTTCACGTCGCTGGCAGTGGTGGTGGTACAGATCACTCTGGTTAGGGGGGAGACAAAATCAGAGAGGCGGGTTGTGACAGTGATAAACAAGTTGATGTGGTTGGCATCGGTGTGCACCTCTGTAGCATTTATAGCCTCAGCTTACATAGTAGTGGGGCGACATAACCATTGGGCTGCCATCCTGGTTACTGTTGTAGGTGGAGTGGTAATGGCAGGAGTTCTTGGCACCATGACGTACTATGTGGTGAAGTACAAACGGAATCGGAAGATCAGGAGGAAGGAGAAGAAATACTCTAAAAGGAGCGCATCCAACTCGTGGCCTCAATCAGAGCTTTCTGATTCCGAAGTCAACCCTATTTATGCCATATAATATAGGCTAATTAATTAATAGGCAACCAACCCACCTCCCCAAAGGCAGTATTCTTCTAAGTTCAATCTTGTGTTTCTAGTATGTAACAGAATGAAAACCAGAACAAACGATTTCTGTATGAGGTATTTTGGCCATGTACTTCTTCTTCAGTGCTTCTTGTACATATAAATTCTGGGGTGCTTTTTGCTTGTGACCTCTTGTCACAAAATGCCGGAACCAGCTCAGGAGTCAGGACGAGGACGTCAACGAAACACATTCCCTTCCTCTTCCTTGTCCTGAAAATTTTTATTTTTCCTTTGAACTTGTCAGCCATACTATCAAACTACTTGTTCTCCTCTCGTTTGTGAGTTGTGATATTCCTTGTTGCTGTTCAATGTGGCTCATCTCATGGTCTTACTGCAATTACGAATTTGTTATGATTTAAAATCTTATGAAAATCATAAAATGTTATTGGAATTTGGTCTTCCGCCTCTACCTCTTTCATCTTTTTCATTTTTTAAGGCTCAGTTTGGAAAAAGTACAAATACAAATATGTACAATGTAAATACAAAAAACATCTAGTCACGTTTTGTATTCAATCAGCTTGCAACGACAAGGCATTTCTTTTGCAATTTCACTTGTGGGCTTGTCGCCTATGGTCGACTTCCATTTGTAGCAAAGGATGATCTCAAATTTAGCAAGTCAAAAGCTACAAATTAAAAGAAAAAACGAGTTTGACAGCTTAATGACTCAACTATCTTCAAATGCTTAACCTTTTGCTTCAGTTTTCGCAGTTCAAAAAATCACTCAACTCAAGCCAAGGAAAACAACTGATAACCATAGTCGAACTAGAGTAGACAAACATACATTGAAACAACTATCACAGGATTCACAGCTCACCGGATCCTGCCCCTCCTCTCCTTTTGGGATGGTAGCATTTATTTTAATATGCGGGTTTACCACTTAATCCCTCGGATTCTAATGTTAAACCGTGAGACCATGAAAATGGGCCTCTGTTTCAACTCCGCTCGGGTATGGGTTCGCATCTGCCCCCCACAGACTTGCCCCCCAAAAAGTCCCACAAAACCTATGTGCGACGCGTGTCATGATACACGTGCACTAGGCGCGACGCGTGCGGACTCCTTTTCATACCGTTTCCCGTACCTCCGTTAATTCCTCTCTCTTCCAAAAGGGTTTTTTCTCCCATTCTACTTCGAACTGAAACCTTTGACGCCCAAAAGGGTTTCTAGCACCTCCGTTTCCAGTACCTCTGGTCGAGTTCCGCCGGCCGACGCCGACGGCCATACTGGAGGAGGTAAGTAGATTTTTGATGTTTAAGAAGTAAAATAAAAGAAAGCCAGTTTCGATTAATAAGTGTTCGAGTTCCTAACTACTTCCCACGAAAACTTCGACGACGTAACCTTGTTATGCAACTAATGCTGTTTTAAGAAGTAAAATAAAAAAATTACTATATATATTTATATATATGTTTTTTAAGCCCAGGCGGTGATTTTTTTTTTTTGGGAAAATGCCCACACTAATTCATTCAACAATCAAAGTTGATTGTAAGATCTTAATTGGAACAAAAGTAACTGAGAAGGAATCGGGGTGATGCGACAAAATACACCTGCAACTAGAAATGAGCTTAAGATTAATGCTCTAAGTCCAAGGAGAGTGAGAATAATCCCCCAGCAAGAGTTTTACGATAATTTCTGCATCATCTTCAAACATAGCATTGGAGAGACCGAGAGAAATTGCAAACTGGATAGCTTCAGACAAGCTAAGGTGAGTGAGAAGAATCCCCCAACAAGTGGTGCTATCAAAATGAATTTTAATGGAGCCCGTAAGAGGTCTCGTCCAGGTTGTAGGCAAAGCATGAACCGAAGGGGCAAGAGGTAGTGATGTAGAGATAACACAATCAACTCGGACGCCAAGCAAATCAATTAGGTCTGAGCTAATCGACCGGAGGTGCTGGCGGCCGGTATGGCTGTCGGCGTCGGCCGGCGGAACTCGACCGGAGATGCTGGAAACCGTTTTGGGCGCCAAGGGTTTCAGTTCGAAGTAGAATGGGAAAAGAAACCCTTTTGGGCGAGAGAAGAATTAACGGAAGTGCTGGAAACGACGTGAAATGGAGTCCGCACGCGTCGCGCTTATTGCGCGTGTGTCATGACACGCGTCGCGCATAGGTTTTGTGGGATGTTTTTGGGGGGCAAGGCTGTAGCGACGGGATCTGCTTCACACAAATGGGCGCCTCACAGGCACATCTACCATACATTGGGAACATCTCCCGTGAATAATAACTAATAAATACGGGAAATGTTCCTAATGCATGATAGGATGTGCGTCTGAAGCGCCAAGTGTGAGGAGCAGATCCGGTCTCAAGTAAGTGGGGGACAGATGCGAACCCCTCGCGTATACATTGATATTTTCCACGGACAGACGGATTGACGGACACGGTGTACTACTGGTGTAGAATCGAACGGGTCGCTGAAACTGAAAGTAAAACTTCTCTGACTGTCGTTGCGCCCGGATCTCAATTCATCAACCTGTTGCTTTACAAACGCGCTTTTTTTTAATGGAGAAATCGGAGGCTGATGTGAGGACTGAGGTCCATCCTCCCTCATACATGCTCCTGCTAACGTGCCCCTCTGGTCTCTCCCAGGCGCAGGTTAGTCTCTTCACCTTCTTAGCTTTACAACTTCTTTCCTTTGATTATTGTTTATCCTGGTTAATTTTTCTGTGATTCGTCACAGGCTACAGATATTACTCGTTAGTTGATTCAGTAATCTGGATCCAGTTGATTTGACGCTTTCCCTTGATTTATTTAAAATTTATGTTTGCTGTTGAATGAAGCTTTCTGTAGATTTCAGTTCTTCATACGACCGGATTCCCCACCCTGACATTTACTTGGAGAACACCATTTCTGAGGTAACATACCATACCTATGCCTTTTCTTTTGTTTTTGAATTCTAAGTTGTTATTAACTTTACCTCATTAGTTGGGTAAAGTTCGTTATGCTCTACAGAGCACTCCCTTGAGTATACAACTCAGCTTAATGCGTTTATTACATTTTTTTTTCTTGTATAGATTTGGGATCGACGTCTTAAAGAAAATCCATCTCTATATAATGGCAAAAAGTTCAGGGTATGCTATTCTTCCACATCAATTTTGCCTGTTTGAACTTGGTTTTCTGTTCATGCACCTCCATTGTTCACCATTTGATAATGGAAATAGAAAATCTGAATTGCTTGGAAGACACGAAAACTTTCTTGGTAAGAGAGGTATATTTGTGTTCAATGTATGAAGAAGGAAGGAAGAAACTAAAATATACACATTAGATTGGTGATCAACGCTTGTCTATTGGGAAGCAAACAAAACGGGTGACGGGAAGGGCTTAAGTTATTATTAGATGCTATCTTTCTTAGGATCTTCACAGTAACTGTTAGAGGAGTGATAGTTGATTGTAGAAGTACCTTTCTGGTGGTTTATCCATCAATACTGGATGCCAGGATGCAACACATGAATAGGGAGTTAGTGCTACAGAAGGGATAGAGACATGCTGCTAATCATAAGAGTTACTGCTACAGAAGGGATAGAAAATTTCTAGGATGTAATTTAGCACAGAAGAATAAAAAAAAAGGATTTTGAAGTGGAAGTATGAGGAGTTGAGGGGGAAACACATGAATAGGAGTGGTTATAAAATGTGAAAGATTTACATGAACATTCTATTTCAATCACATATTCCAAATATGTTCTTAGATACAAACAAGGAAGATAATAAAGATGTGCCAAATTTAATTTTTTTGGGTCTGAGGAATTTTCACAGTTTGAGATACAGATTTGCAGATATTTCCAGAAAATCAACTTTTTTTAATAGTCAGAAGGCTGGCTATCTTCCATTTTTGTCTATTTCAACACACCTTTCTCTCTCTGTCATCTTTTCTCTATTAATACATCTTTACTTATATCCACAGGCATTTAAAAGTTGACATTCTAATGCATGATTTACCTTGAAATTTACTTTAATTGACATGCTGAGCATTAGTAACTCCTATAATTTGGTCTCTATATATATTTTACAGTATGGAGGTTATCTCTTGCAAAGTACTACTGGTTCTAACCATGGGCCCCATGTATGTCTCCACCTTGGTTTGACGGATTACAGGTCTGCTCTTTCCCTCTCTCTCTCTCTCTCTCTCACTGTGCACAAAGTGGCCTCTCTCAGTCTTTTTTTTTTTTATCAGTGAAACTCTCTCAGAATGGGTAGATAAGATGGCACAACTTTTGGTTACAAATAATACAAGGGAAAATAGGAATCACTATTTATTTTAAATGGTAGACTAGGTTCCAACTAGGCCCACAGTACAAACATAAGCATTTTGGTGGGAATACCCATCAAGTAAATAGGAATTGCTATTTACTCAGTGCTTTTCATTTCCTCTTTTCCTAGGACAAAATAGAGGCTCAACAGCTCTATTTTCTGATTTTTGTTTTCTTTCTTCCATTTTATCATGAGTAAGTTGATTTTTTATGAATGAAGTTTATACATTTTTTATGAAGATTATAGACAATTGATAGTGAAAGATGGTTGCTGATTGCTATGGAACCTAGGGAATTAGCCTAGGATTCATGGTTTTTATTCAAAATAAAAAATCCCATCACCTAGGTCCCCCCTAGGTGACGATGCGCTCCCCTACCACCTAGCCTCGCCTCAGCGCCTTGAAAACTTTGGCTTTAAGTATAAGCATTTCCATAGGCAATGGGAATATTTATCTTTGATCATAATTTTGATGTACATGGTTTTTGTTCAGCCAATGCATTTTTGGCTTGTGATTTGTTGGTGAAGAACCTCATATTTCCCTACCTATCTCTATATTATTGTTGCGAGATTTTTTCTGGTGTTTATCAGAACTAGATACCAATAATATACTGTTTATTCCAAATTCTATTTAATTAGGCTTGCACCTCAAATGTAAAGATGATATTTTCTTCGTTCTTTTTTTCATTCAATGTTCTTTTATTCAGATAATCTACTTATTTTTCAGGACATTTGTAGGTACAAACTTAAATCCTTTGTGGGAGAAATTTCTTGTTCCTTCAGAAGGTAATGTTGCATGCAAATAATTTTTAGTTCATAAATTATGTGCATTTTATTTAGTAATTTTGTTTTTCGACTGTTTATACTTCAGAGATCACAATTGATTTTTCATGATAAAAAAGAATTTATTGATACAAACTAGTGTGAAGTACAGTAGCCTTACTGTTGAGTCTCATGGCCTGGATTGCAAATAAGGTTCTCTTTCTCAACCAGCCAGAGACCACATTTGTTTGGTGACCAACAATTACTTGTATTAGTTTGGGTGCGGATTATGTGCATGTTTGGGTGTCTTTGGATATTTATGGGCATCAGGGTTATCAGTAATGTTTAAGGTCCAAGAAAGTCCAATTTCTTGAGCACTACTAGGTTCTCTTTGGATAGTGGGAATGGATTCGTAGTTGTATTTTGTTTCCGGTTTAAATTTTTTGGAATTTAGATGATTAACCCCCCAGTTGTTTCTAACATCAGGTAGAATGTGGCATCCAAACTTCCAAAGACTAAAAAGTAAAAAACAGGTGTTTTGCCAAGTTTGGCTCTGATGATGGAATCTGGAGACTCATGGGATTGGTCCCTCATGATCCCTCAATTCTGTCACTAATTCCATTTCCACTCAGATTCTAATGTAACCTTAGAATAACATCTCCGGTTCATTGCAACTTCATTGCTGAAAGTTAACCATTTGTTTGTGATAGGTATGATCTTGGTTTAAAATGTCAACATGTTTCTTAATGTTTCCATAAGCAGAAAGTTTAGCTAGAGGCGGGTTCAGAGAATTGATGTGTACTTCTTTTCATAACAACTATCAAGAGTTTTCTTTTTAAATAAACAATGGAGAAAATAATGGGTTGAATAATTTCAATACCAAGACTTCAAAGAAGCACTCATGACTGGAAGGCTGATGAACTACTATCTCTGACGGCAGAGATCAATAGGATGAGCTTGAATGTACATAGAGCTGTCAATTGGTATTAATTGGTTCCATATGATAGACCCAGAACCGTCCCATCTCCCATTTATTAATTGGGAGTCTGGGACAATCAGGTCAGACCCAGTTATTTTTGAGATCCATAATTACCTATATAATAACAATTTAAAACTTTATTTTTTTATAATACCTTAATAAAAATGATTATGTTGATAAAACAAGTGTTTTAACCTAAATTGCCATATATACAATTGATAAAATTTACCCTTTTGGACATAAAATATAACCAAATTTACAAGAAAACCAGGAGGCTTTTATATACTATTAACTATATAATCAGTTTGGATCTGAATTGGTTCAGAACAGAAATAACAGTCCCAAACCAATTATTAATCTAGAAAAAAACAACAGAAATAGAGCCAAAGAGTCTCTAGGAATAAGGCTAGTTACCTAGATTACTAGTGTCTCTAGGAATAAGGCTAGTTACCTTAAAAAGGTTGGAATAGTTCAAAGAGTCTTATTAGAGAATTTGTAGAGTTATGAAATGGTGAAAGTGCAATCACGTCACTTTTGTGTTAACCTATTTATTAGAGGTTAAATCTTGTCTGTTTTGCATGAATTTGGTATTATTAGATAGATTATCAAGTAATCTATCCAACAAGACCAAGATTGTATAAACTGGTGTAAGGGCACGTGCTATGCATGTGTGCAAGTGTAAAATATTTGGAGAACTGCTCTTTGTAAGTATTAACATTACATTACTTTGATTTAACTTTTGTGACCTGCATGGAAACCAAGGTAAGTATCAGCATTATGTAGTATAGACATGACATGTTTCAAGAAAGTTATGGTCAATTTAGTGATAGGGTTTAAGTCTGTGATATCATCATTTGGCCTTTAACAACCAGTTTGTTGCAGATTTTCACATATCCAGATTTCAAGATTGCCATCTTGAGAAAGTATTATGCATACTTTCTTTAGTCTTTTAAGACAATGATATGGTAATTAAATGCTTGGTATTACATGACAAGTCACCTTGTTGGTCCCAATCCCATATTGAATTCTCAAACAACAGATATTTTTATTTCATAAAAGTTACAACAGCTTACATTTTGGACGGTGTATTTCTTAATCCTAATTGTTAACGAGACTTTAGTTCCCTTGTTGTCTATTTGATTAATTTATCAGTCTGCCTAAATTTCTTGGAGCTTCTTCTAGTTAGGATTTTTAATCATTCATGGTGTGGATCAGTGTTTTAAAAGGTGTGGGAGGCATACGCCTGGAGGCGCACCTCCAGGCGAGGCACCCCCAAAATGCCTTGAGGTGTACACCTCATATGTTTTTTTTCATGAGGCGTTAGAGGCATACACCTCATGCGCCCCATGCAGACCTCATATAAAAAGACAAGAAAAAAGAAAAAAAAGGGAAAGGAAAGGAAAAGAAAAGAAAGGGAAGGAAAGAAAAAGTAAGAAAGATAAGGAAAAAAAAAAGAGAAAACGAAAGAAAAGGAAAGGGAAGGGAAGAGAAGATAAGGGGAAATGAATATAAACAAGTGCTATGCATCTTCATTCTTTTTAATATAAAATATTTTTATTAGAAATAAAGAAAAATGAGATCCTCCTTCCTCTTCTTCCCCTCCTCATCCCCCTCCTCTTAAAGAGGCTTACGCCTCACACCTCTAGGTAGTGGAACACCTCGCGTCACGCCTCCACATTTTAAAACATTGGTGTGGATATAGTTCTAGCCCTTGATGATGCATGCTGTTTAAACTCACTAGTTTTACTGTTTTGCAGATGACTCCATACGATGTCAACACTGCTCAACTCCCTTGGGTAATGGTGCAGTTGTAGAGACAGCCGATAGAAGGATCCTTGTGCTGCAAAGAAGCAATAATGTGGGGGAGTTTCCTGGATACTTTGTTTTTCCTGGTGGCCATTCAGAGGTATCACTTGTAAAATTTAAAATCTATCACCAAAAATAGTTTCATAGTTTTCATAGTTGTCTGATTTCTCTAACTTTTTCTGGTCAAGAGTTTATGTTCTATTTTCTGATTCATGTATCTGCACTTTTTTGCCACCAATCTTTCCAGTGGCAATAGTCTTCCTTTTCTGTTGGGCCTTAGAACTTGGGATGTGTGCTCTTCCTGTTTAGTTTATGATTTCCAATTTTCCACTTGTTTATAGGTGGTTGCTCTTTTTTTTTATTTAAATTTTTGCCTAGCGAGTGAGCCTGTCTTACCAGTGATCTGAATTCTCATGGAACTTGAACATTTGTCCTCTAATGGTTATTTTATAGGTGTAATGTTTATTTGCCCCATGAGTTCTTTTACTTTTTTTCTCTTGCAGAAAAGTAATGTCCATTTAAAGCAGAGATTGTTAATAGTTGCTTTTTTCTTTCTCATGATTGGCAGCCTGAAGAAATTGGAATAGCATCTCATCAGTATGACAAAGACTTGACAGACTCAGGACATATAAACAGGAAGGTTTCTCAGGAAATGTTTGATGGAATTATTCGAGAAGTAATTGAAGAAATTGGAGTACCCACAGCTTCTCTTGTTAAGTTACAACAACTTTGCTGAATTGGGGAATAACTTCTTTCACTTTATTCTTTGCAATAAAATTGTCTTTTATGCCGCTTCTAATATCTGATTGTTTAAATCAATAGTGATTGTGGTTTCATCTTTATCTCTCCCTTTCTTGTTATTTACTGGAATTGTATTGCACATGCATTTATTGCTTTCATGACAGTATTCATTCCCTTTTGTTCTCTCACATATGAGCAGAGGTAAGGTTGTGCGGTTGTGTTCTAACTGGATTGTGCTGCTATAATAATAAAAGTACCTTCCTTTCTATTTGTGGGTGCAATACATGGCAAACTTCTGCCTTGTCATTAAGAGAAACATCACTAATATATGAGTATGGATTTCATCAAACAGTTTCTTCTCATGACAATGACCTTGACATGCATATCTGCATAATCATAATTTGTTATGTAGCCACCATATTCTTTACTTGGAAAGCAGCTTTGGAAATGTTCACTTTGTGCTCTCAAACATCTTATCAGCCCTGCAAGTAATGATATGCTTGCTTCTTTTGTCTTAGGAATAAAGATTTTCTTGCCATGTTTTCCTATTTCATTCAATGACTTGAGATGCATAGTATTTTTTTATCAGGTTGGTTTGCTTTGGATTCTCTGCTCCAGATTGCTTGATTAATTAATTAATTATTTTTTTATGGGAAATGGTAACTTTCATTAATGTTTAAGGAGATTAAGTACAACTGTCACCTTCATAAGCAAGGTGACCCCTCAACAAAAATTAAACACACATCCAAAAAAGGTTCTCACTACCAACTCCTTGCTTTGATAAAGTATCAGCCATTGCATTGGCTGATCTCCTAGTCCAATTAAAACAGACCTCCAGCTCCCTTTTAGGTGCATAATTTCCCTTACAAGTTGTCTAAGGGACCAAGTGCCCAAATTGTTTGATTGCATCCATCCTATTACCAATTTCGAATCTCCCTCTACTTCCAATTGTTGGAAACCTAGTTGTTTAGCCAGTTTGAGCCCCTGTAGGAGTGCCAAAACTTCTGCTCTAAGAGAGTCTCCCACGCCTATCGGGCCAGAAAACAGAGCCATAACTCTTCTTTCCCCATCTCTAAAGATACTTCCATGCCTAACTGGTCAACCAAAAGAGCCAAGATCATGTGGAGGTGTGGTAGGGCTGCAGTGTGTTGGACTATTTGGGGGGAGGGAAATTCAAGGGTATTTTCTAGTAAGGAGAGAAGCTTGGAAGTAATCATATAAACTATCCACATTGGGTGATTCACTAGTTAAAAACCTTGTAATTGTTTGCAGTGTTCTCAGTTGATGAGATGACCAGAAAGTGGAAGGAGATTGTGGAGTTAGGCTCAATCAAGAAGACCTCAAGTTCCTGCTGGACACCTCCACCTCATGGGTTTACCAAACTGAATTTTGATGGCAGCAGCATGGGTAATCTAGGGCCCTCCGGAGTGGGGGGAGTGATAAGAGATGAAAAAGGGAACCTGTTAGCTATGTATTCTGGCCCAATTGGGGTGGGAGATTCCTTGAGAGCTGAGATCCTAGGAGCTCTTGAAGGGATACAAAGGGCCAAGGAAATGAACTTTAAAAAGTTGATCATAGAAGGTGATTCTGAAATTGTAGTAAATTGGCTAAAAGAGGACAGTTCTATGCTCTGGAAATACAGCAATGAAAAGAGGAAATTCAAGTGGCTCACCAAGGATATTGAATTTCGTTGTACATGGATATAAGTGCTAATGCACTGGCAGATGGTCTAGCTAGGCAAGGGGTGAACAAAAACTCTATGTTTTGGGCTGTTTTGTAATTGTTCCATGAATTGGGGTTTATAGGGTATTTGGGAGTTAAGATTTTTTAGCTCCTTACCTTGTAATTCAGATTTTCCAAATTATTAATAAAATTCACCGTTATTGATAAAAAAAAAGATACCCCCCTCCACACCAAAATTCCAGAGAGGCCTGGATTACCTACAGAGCTTCCGTCAAAGTTGCTTGATTAATTTATTGCACCATTAAATCAGGGTGTTGGTGGCAAGAATGGTAGAATTTTATGTGAACTCATTTGTCTGGCTTTTGGAGGTTGTAGCAAGAGAGGAATTGCCAGACCTTAAAGGAAAATCAGCTTCCTACCTACCTAACCTTATAGACCTTAATTCACAAGGATTTAGGGTAATCAATTTGAACAAATTGAAGACAGGTTATTTTGTCTATCATATGGACCTAGCATATGAACTTGATGGAAGAGAAGAGGATTTAGGGAAATGAATCAGCTTCCTACTCTACCTAACCTTATAGACCTTAATTCACAATGATCTACTATCTCATCATATGGACCTAGCATTTTATTAATAGGCAAAAATGAACTTGATGGAAGAGAAGAGCTTTGCAGCTTTTAATAATGGAGGCTAATTCATGGGATAAGGTAATTGGACCATGGTGGTTGAGTCACTGCATTAGGGGAATAAAATCTTCTACCCTATCTTGTTTTGTCACTGTGATGAGTCTTAAGATATTGTAAAGCTCTAGTTTGGGCTCCCACCCCCGGGTTTCTAGTAAAACTTAATTTTGTACTTAATACAATGGATACCATTGCTTCACAGAATATACATGCAATGCATACACTATATACTTACTATGTTTTATGTCATGCATGGATGCCATAGATTATCCTTGTGAGTCATGGTTTCCTTTTCTTTGTATCCCATATAAATTACTTATGCTTGCTGAAACACTATATACTTACTATGTTTAATGCGATGCATTCAAACTCATCTTGAGACAGTTTGGACTTCCAGTCTAGTAATTTGGAGAAATGTTTATCTGATGTTCTTTCTATTTATTGACTTCACATGCAGAGTGATCCAGTCTTCATTGGTATATCTCGTAGGGAGTTGAATGTTAGACCTACAGCCTTTTTCTTTCTTAAATGTAATCTTCAGTCAGAGAAAATTCAGCAATTATATTCTAGCGCACAAGATGGCTATGAGTCTACGCAGCTTTATACTGTTTCAAGGGTTAGTGCATATTCCATCTAAGAGTATTGATATGAAATTCCTTTGTGGAATAATTTGAACTCTTTACTACTTTACATTTTCTTATTGATGTTCTGCTTGCTTATCAGATCGAGTTAGAAACTATGGAATCAAAAATGCCCGGCTGCCACCGAGGTGGATTTGCTCTTTACAAGTTGATGACAGAAGCTGTGCAAATCTGATAGAATGAGGAATCCAGAACTACTACTTTGGTCAAGGTTTTCAGTCTTAGTCATCTCCATGATTCTCATAAAGCTATTCATTTTGAGTATTTTATTGCTGTCTGTAAAGAAATGGGATTATGAGGATGTATTGTACAGGAGAAGTCATCTTGAGGCATGCATAATGGTGGTGCACATGCAAGAGGGTCAGGACACGTTGTACACTGCTTCTAATATATCTTTTAGTTCAAGAGTCGTCCCAGTCAAAATGATTCTGATAGTTCAATCTGTTATTTATGGATCTATAGAAAATGTGGTTCATGGTCCAAAACATTGCCTATTGATTAGATGGGATCAAATTTCAGCTAAATATCCTTTCTTTTTCTTTTGATAGGTAATTAATGGTATGCAATTTTGACCTAGGTCTCATTGATAGGCCCATTGAATGATGATTTCAAACTCCAAAATTTTCAGTCACATCTCGCGTGCACTACCAACATTGAGGGAAGCTATTCTTGTCACCATCATTAGTTTACCTCTTGTTATTTATTTATTAATCAGATTGCTTGTACTTCATTCTATTATATGCAAAATCTGTAACTGGTATTGAGGCCATGATTTTGTTGATCCAAAGTTGTTTATAATTCCTATATATTCTTGAAAGTTTAGTAGGAGAAACCAATGGATCAGGAACTAGAGTGGAAATGTTCTAAAATTTTGCAGAATTGGCTGGGTTTTTCATGGGTAAGAAAATTTTGGCTATAGAAGTCAAAGCTAACTTTTGGAGGTTGCAAGGATTCAAATCAGCATAGGAAGTGAGGATTTAAATTAATGTAGTTGTATTTAAAATTTTATGATCGGACCTAAACTGACTTCTGTTGTAAAGCAATTAAATGAGCATTTGATTGGTTAAGAAAGAGTCCGGTTTTGCACCATCATTGATTTGCGTTGATTTAAATTGGTATTGACTAACAAAAACAATACTGTTGATTTGTTCCTCCACTTACCATATTGAATCATGTTACGTAGACTGAAGGGTCATTTATTAAAACACCCCCATATTTTCATGTATTTAATAAAACCTACCTTACATTGTTGTGTTTTACTCAAATACCCCTTGTAGTTTGCAACTGATTTACTTAACCAACCTTCCATTAAGAACACCGTTAGTATTGCCATCTGAAAATGGTCAAATGACCACCTAAACAATTACAAAGGGCATGGATTCATGGTTGTTTACCCCAAAAATACCCTTCACACTTCATATCGAGCTTTTAGAAAGAAAACCCTCCCTCAACAACAGAACAGAAAAGACATTGAGTGCATCAATTAGAATTGTAATCTCATTGTGAATCGTGACGGTGGAGTTAAATTTTCCACTTTCATCTAACACAAGGTCAATTTAGTAAATTGCTCATAAACCATAGGTGTATTTTAGTAAAATAAAACCTATAGTATAGGTTTTAGTGAATATGTGAAACTATGGAGAGGATTTTCATAAATGACCCCAGGCTGAAACTATAGAATGGTAACATATTATATTTTTCTTCATTCAATTATCAAGTCAGATTGTTTTATGCGGTCGAAGTTGTTAATGTTAGTATATCCCTGTCAAAGCTAGAGCTTGTGTTTTTATCTATTTTCATTATCTCATATGCATATTAGGATAAGGTCATAGATGACCAATCCTTTTCTCTACCTTGCATTTATAATTTATTGTGTGGTTCCCTGCTCTAGTGTTGAAAGACTTGGTCAGTTGATATTTTCTTTTCTTTTTTTTTTTATCTTAATAATTAATTGCATATAAAGGTTCTACAGCTACATGGAACTTAGAGGAAGTGAGATTAGATTTTGGTGATCCAAGCCAAAACTCAAAAGTCTTCTTTCTTAAGGTAAAGAAAGAGATGGGGTTTTGAAGGGAGAGTGACATCTAAGTAAGGAGGTACTGAAACGAGTTAGTACATTCCAAGGAAAGGTTAAAAGAGACGGTACAACTACAACTATCTCTTACAGGCTTGCAGTCAAATCTGTTAGGAACAAAGGAGTTCTGCTACTGGTTATTGACAATTGCAACTAACCTCTTTGACTTGGTAGATAAATGCAAGAGTGGGTGAAGAAAATTCTTGTCCGCTCTTGTAGAAAGAATCTTGACCCTTTATTAATCCAGATGGTAGAGTAAAGCAGAAATTTTTAATTAGTTTCTTCACGATTGATGGTTCACAATAAGGCATCATCAGAGAGCAACCGAATCATCATTCAACCCAAACACAGTGCAACCATTTTCATGGTTCTTAGTGTTATTATATTATTCTCAACACCTATAAAATAAATATGGTGATTGATTGGAGCGAGGAGGATAGGCACGTTCTGGAATCATTCCCCTCATCTACGCAGGATAATGTTCCCTTGGATGAAGCCGTGGGACCAACCATTCTATATTGTTGGGAGCATTACACGTGGGACAGACTTGCGGTGGATGATTGATTCCCCACTCCCCCAGGTGGTGGTTATGGCAGTAAATAAGTCGGGTGTTGCTGGATTTATATTCTGAGCAGATTAATTGAAAATTGACCTCGGGAACACATGTTTTCTATATATATAAAAAAAAAATGTTTATCAGAGGCTCAGAGCATGTTGATTGTTGAGTATCCCATGATCCCATCCCATCCCATATCCCATTAGGGGAAACTAAGATTTGACAAAATACATTCCATCAGTTCCGTGTAATTAGTTCCATTATCCTAGTCTGGAATCCCAATAAAGATAGCAATAATTCACCTTTTTTTTCTTTTTCTGAGAGCAAGCTTAGCTTGCTAGTCGAGTTGTTCAGATTAGAACTCTGAACGACCAAGGGATTTTCCACATGGCTGAGTCAGTTTGGACCTGAAAGGGCCCATCATATTCCTCTAAATCAACGAAAATTTGAGCCCAAAAAACCTGTATTTAAAGTAAACATTATTAATATTAACTTTAAATTGTTGATAACACCGATGCAAGATTTGTATTTTTTATTGGTATTTGATTGTGTTTGTAGTATTGGGCTACTTGAGGCCTCAGTCTAACCTCATCTTCTATATAGCAAGCCAAATCCCTCTTTAATTTCTTTCTTTTCATTCTTTTCTATAAAAATTGGTTACCACAATGGCTAGCATGGAATGAAGATCATGCTATTAGGATCCTTGGCATCTTTTTCATTTTGATTTCTCATAAAAAGAAATAAAGATTCTACTACAATTTCAACTACTGTAGTCTGTATTCAAGTTATTTGTGATGAATGATACTTTCTCTTTTGTTTTCTTTGACATTTACTTCTTACAATATTGGTCACAAGCTTAAATAAAGGAGGGTTGTTGGGTTGAGCTGAATTGACTATTGACTTTTTGTTTATTTTAATACTAAATATTTATTATCATTTTTTTTTCACTCTATATGTCTCATAGTTGCTTGTGAAATGGCTAAATTGAATGATTCCTTACTCTGTTTTTTAGTGGATAAAATAATTAAATAATAAAATATTTAAAAGTATAGTAAAAACCCAGCTTCAAATTGCCTATCAAAGGAAGCTGTTTTAACCTCCCAAATAACTTTTTCACTAAAAAAGACAAAGCAACAAGTATATTTAATCCAGTCACTTCGCAGCTTAGTTGTTATGCACTTAATATTATTTTCCACTGCTTCTTTTACTAAATTTAGATTAAATCGTAGACACCATAAGAGTTTTAATACTGGTAAGGTTCAAAATATCGATATGTCCGATATACTGGTAGGGGCATATCAGGCGATATTGATATTAGTTTTTACTTTTTTTTAATTTTTTTTTTCAAAAACAGATTCAGGAGGACTAGTTTAAGGCTCCTCCACCCCTTGAATCGGTTAGAACTTCAATACACTCACCGTAGGGGTGTACCAGAAAGGTCCCAAAATAATATGTATTAGCTAATATGGGCCAATACATATCAATACTTTGAACCTTGAATGCTAATTACAATTTACAATAGAAAGAATGGAGATGAGGGGTTCTTGCCCAGAGCCAGCTTTTATGAGCAAAACCCACCAACCATTACATGATTTTGTGATTATATACACAGACAAAAGGCAAGTCCATTTGCAGTGGAGATAAAAGATGAGAGATCAGAGATCCATAAAGTGGGGAATCTTGTTTTGCGCAAGATGAGAGATGACTAGCAGCACGAAGACTCCATGAAAGACTTCTCAGTCAACTTGAAAAAGCCAGATTACTTGTTTTGCGCAAGTCATCATCTTGGCAAATAAAGCCAAAAGCATACCGACCGCTTGAGATGATTTTAAGGTGAAAAATTAAAAATTAAAAGAGCAAATTGGAATCGTATACTTTCAGGCCGATGAGCTAGCAACTAAGATGGTCACATGACACCCTCTCCATTTTGGGAACAAGGATATACTAGTATGCTACGTATATAAGTGTGTAAACTGGGCTATATGACCAATCACTTCACAAGTGAATATGGCAGTGTTTTCAATACACAAGGCCCATGGTGTAGGGCCCCTTTTGTATGAAACATTGGTGTGATTACTCGTAATTGATCATGTGGCCTGGTTCACATGTCGGTATTCGCAGCAGATTCTGGGAATCAATTTTGGAGGTATGGGATCAATGTTACGGATATATACACCACCGCGTGGACTTCAGTGCACTTTCTCTGTCACACCCTGACGCTTGTTTAAAAAATAGGGTGAATAATAGATATCCTATACTTTGAGGGTAGTGACAGGTATCCTGAACTTTCGATTGTAATATTTGAATACCCTAATTCTCAAAAATATACATTTGGGTTCATCAAATAGCTAAAGTGTTAAACATTATATAATGTCAAAAATATCTTTTTCATGTATTTTTAAGAGAAATAAAATTATCACCAGAAAATGTTGGGATCGAAAATTTTGAATATTTTATTTACTGTCTATGTAAGAACATCATCATGGGGAGACGTTCGATTACGAAATACTTGAAAAGGATATTTTTGGTATTATATAATGTTTAACTGATATTCAAGTGTTGCAATAATAGACGTTCGATTACGAAAGTTATGGGTACCTATCAGTCATTACCCTAAAGTATAGGATATCAATCTGTTATTTACCCTAAAAATAATAGAATTGTATAGTTTGAACTTTGGGCTGAAGGGGTAAATGACAGATGACCAATGATAAGACTTGGTCCTGAATTTTGTTTTTGTCTCAAAACAAAGATCAGATCTAACTTCTAAGTCTTACCTCAATATGGCTATGTGTGATCTACCTCTACCACCCCTCCCTAGGATCAAAATATCAATATATAACACCACATATTCAGTGGTTAAGAGATGCATGAATTCCGATACATGTAAGGTTAGGGGTTTTGAAACTTTGGGATGATAAAAGGCATCCCTCTAATACTAATAAAGTTAAAAAAAATATAGAAAAAAAGCATTGGGGCATGTTTATTTGCTGCAATAATTACATTAAAAGGTATATTGGTATTGGTGAACTTTTCTTTCCTCTGAATTTTGAATGCAAAGAATATTGTTATGATTTCTAAATTCTAAAAGTTATCAAATATCCATTTTAACCCCATATATGAGGGGTTTTGTTTGCCTATATAATTCAATAAAAAAATAGTATTAAAAATTATTATAATGATTAATAATTACTAATATTATTTATTATATAACAAGTAATAATAATAATAATAGTAATAAATGAATCATGATTAATGATTAAATATTATAATAATAAGTATTAATTAATTATTAGTTATTAATTAAATTATAATTAATAATAATTATTATTGCATATGAGGCTCTTGAGTTATAAGGAGGGGGAAGTGTTTTGTGTTCTGTGGATATCATTAAAAAACAAAAAATATAAGATTCCACTTTAAAATATAAGAAATAAGAAGAAACGAACAGCCATTTTCCTTTTGAAGTTGCAAGATTCTTCTTAAAAAGTAAGAGTGAAACAAACAGGCCCTTATCATATGAACCAATACCCAATTGTTGATATTGGATTAGGGGTGATCATGGGTCGGGCCAGGCTTTGCACTTATGATAAGGGCTATAGCTTAGGCCCGGCCTGGCCCAAGGTTTTGGGTCTATAACATAAGCCCTAGCCCAGGTCTACACAAGCCCGGGCCAGGCCAGGCCAATGTCTTTCATATATAAAACATTATATATCTATAGTATTTTATATTTACATAACATGCATATAAACTTTTATTTTATATATTGTATAATATAAAATATTACATATGATATAAATTATACATGTCATGTTATAATATTTATATATAAAATATATAATATAATGTAAAATAATATGTATACATTATACACAAAATGTGTAAGTTTAAATATATGCAGGCCAGGATAGGCCCAAGTTGGGTTTGATAGAGTGTTAATTAAGCCCAAACCCGACCCTAAAATTTGCGGGCCTAATGTGGGCCCAGGCTCAGGCTGAGCCTGAACACAAAACCCAAGCCCAAGCCTGAAATTTCCGGGCCGGGTTGAAATGATCACCTCTATATTGAACGCATCTCTGTTTTAATCATTTCTTTTGAGAGGAGATTTTTTTTTATTTCTTTTAAAGGGCTATACAACTAGCGGAGGTAACCCATCCCCCAATCCAAGTGCAATCGGGATTAGATCCCAAGTCTCCATTATGACTAACATCAGACCTTACCTACCCGCTTGTTGGAACTTTCTCAAGGTATTTTCAACATGAACTTTGTTAGACAAAGTTTTAGAAGAATAAACAAGAATTAGGATTTGAGAAAAACAAAGGTTGTACTAGCCATTTCTTTTTTAAACATTTGGGGTTGATGTGGAAAAGATGAATTGTCACATCATAAGGAGTCACTTCAACCAAAAAATGCATGTAGGAGACTAGTGATAAGAGCCATTTGTACTTTAGCTACCCAACACCTCTTCAGAGGCATCGAACAGGGCCTTAGAGTTGAGACATGCATTTTTGTTCATGTAACATGACCACTCATTTCACACCTGTTTATATCCTACACAAACAAGAAACAACAATAAAATCAAACACAACCTAAGTTACAAAAGACCAAAAATAGTATCATGAAATAATCCTAGGGTGACGAGCCCCACTCCGTTAGCCATATCATAGAGAATTTGCAATTCCATGGATTTGTTCCTGTGCCATACGCATTAGGAATCCTAACATAGGAATATGTTTTAGAAATGATTAAAAGAATATGGCTGACGAATGCTAAACGGGGGAAAAATGCTGGAATCCAGAAGTATAGGGGTCTTTGTTGCAAAAGTGCAGGAGATTACTGTCACTGGCTCACTGCTGCAAACTAATTGCAGAGTGGAGTGTAATTTACCCAAAAGTTCGCACTTATGCAGCTCTATGCGTAATATCGAGTCTATCGCTATACACTGCAGCAGCTCTATCCACGTAGGTTTCACACGTCAGCCTGATTAGTCCGGTAACGTATTAACGTGTGTGGATTACCACTTACGAAAGAGAGGGACAACTGTTTGTTAGTTCTGGTCGTTATCAGTCCCTAGAAATTGGAATTCACACGGCCAAGCCACATACTGTTGATTTCGGTTTCCGTCAACGCAATGCCCGTCCGAACAGTCTTTATAGCCTTGTATTGAGAATATCACTCTATTTACGTGCTTTATTTCATCAAGAGATATTCTCACTACAAACGGGGTGGCCACGAGCCCAGTCTTTTACAAATTATTCAAGCTCGGCTTATGAAAAGTTTAGTTCGATTGGGTTTAAACTGAGTTTTGAGTTTGATATATAGGATCGTTTGTTAATCGAGTCCAGTAAAACTCGGCTTGTGAGGTTCGGGAGTCTAGTATTAAATAAATAATTTTTATTATACATATATACATATATATAACAATATTTTTATTTTTCATGTATAATAGTAAATAATTTTTTGTCTAAAAAATAAAAAAAAAAATAATTTTATACATATAATTTTTTTTTTCAAAAAAAAACCTGGCTTATAGCTCCGAGCTAAGACGAACTCAAACTTGCGAGCTATGAATTGAGCCGAGCTCCAACTCAAGTTTCTAGCTCGAATCGAGCTCGAATTTGGTACTATTCTTGCGAACTAAGCTTGAATAGTCAAGTATTTGGCTCGAATCCACCCCTAAATGCAAAATTGCAAGAGGCTGTTGGTGTGAGCACAGACTTGCACTGACCGAAGCTGAACTCCATACTGTTGGTTTGTGGCAAAATCTGAAATCAGATTTGGTGCTCATACTATTCTTACAATCCTTTTTAGTGAAAGGGTTTGCTCCTCACAAATGGGCGCCTCACAGGCACATCCACCGTGCATTGAGAACATCTCCCATGAATAATAACTAAAAAATATGGGAGATATTCCCAATGCATGATAAGATATGCATGTGAGGCACCAGGTGTGAGGAGCAGATCTGGTCTCTCCTTTTTAGCCCTGCATTGAGAACATCTCCCCATAAATAAAAAGATATAAATATGAAGATGTTCCCAATGCACAACTGAAAATGGCTACGAGAATGGTGTGAACACAATTTTTGAGGATTGAATCTTTTCTCTGAAAAATTATGCTCAAACCATTTAGTCCGCACCAAAACTCCATTGTGGGATCGTCAAGACTTGGATTGGTTGCTTTTGATGAGACTAGATCTGCTCCTCACACCTGACGCCTTCTAGCATGCATTGAACATCTCCTATACTTATTAATTATTATTCATGGAAGATGTTCTCAATGCACGGTGGATATACATGTGAGGCACCCATTTGTGAGGAACAGATCCCGTCTTGCTTTTGGTATAGGACGTGTGGCTAGATTCATACTCACACCCAAGCATGATTATAAAATTAAATAAAGGATAAATTATAAAGACACTCCCTGTAATGGTTGTAATGGGTTAGTGACAATTACCTCTAATTTTCATTTGCGATAAAGGAGCTCCTGAACTTTCAATTTGCGGTAATTACCTCTTAGTTATGAAATCAAATAAGGAATGTGTTAAATTATCAAAATATTCACTTGAATTTTTCTTATTTTTTCTTATTTTTATATCTTAATTGACCTAAAAATACATTCATTTTCTGTAAAGGAAACTCACTAAAATAACAAAAATAATTTTATTGATATAGAAAAACAAAATTCTTTAAATTCTTGTTTTTTTTCACTAACATGAATATCTCTCTTCACCTTAAAATATTCTTTTTTTTTTCTATAAAAAAGAAATTTATACCATTTCATTTGAATATTAAATCTAATAAAACCCTACAAGAATCTATTAGAGCAATCTAGAGAACTTCAATATTATATTTAAAAAACTAATTGAATCATAAATTATTCGAATAAATAAAAAAGGATTACAAGGATTTAAAAAAGTTTAAATAATTGAATGAAAATCTTTTTTAAAGATCAAAATCTAATAAAAGAGGTATTTATTGCAATATTAAAAGTTCAAGGGAAGTTCATGCGGTAGTTGTCAGAGAAGGATTAGAATAACAAGTGCCGCTAATTATGGACGTGGGACTTGTCTTGTAGTGTTCGTCGTCCGTCCACGGACGCGGTCCACCAAGTCACCAACCCATGTGAGCCCAACATCTTGTGCGGCCTGCCTGCCTCAGGCCCAGTGCCTGGGTCAACGGTCAGTCTATGGAGATCGGTTTCCATCAGCATCACTGCATCAGGGTAAGTCAGGAAAGCAATTCCTGAAGAATTCACATCCGCGTCCCATAATATATCCCAATCGTGTATTCCACTGACAACGACAGCCTCAGAAGATATTCCGAATGCACGCTGAGATGTGCACATGAGGCGTTTGTGGGGCGCAGATGTGATCTCCCTGTTAAATTTTTTTTTTTTTTTTTGAAAATGATCTCCCTGCTGTGCTGAATGGCAATGCTGTTATTTAGAATTTAGATAATGGTGGTAGTGGTGTCACCACCGACCCACATTATTCCGAATGGGTGACAGAGATGACGGATCCCCATCAGAAGGTTTTCCTTTATCTCCCTTCACTGGCTGAAGGGTAGTTGATCATTCACCCATTGGTTTTTTGCTTTCTTACTGTATTTTCCTTTTTTTTTTTCTTTTGTTTGTTTGTTTTTTTTTTTCCTTCTTTCTTTCCCTTTTCTACTTTTTTATTTGTTCTCACACCTCGATCCTCATCAGCTTTGCAACAGGTTCTCCTTTTAGAAGCTTTGTGATTTTTGGTGGGCGGCCATTAGTGAGGTTTAGAGTCACTATATATACAAAAACATCTTTCACGCATGTGTGTTTCATGCCTGTGTTACCTTGCTTCCTCATCACCTTAAGAAGTGAATGACAGGTAGAAAGTTAGTTTTACTGTCAGTTGGAGGTTTTTTCAGCCCTGCTTTGACGATCCCATGATTCCCTGTACTTGTTGTTCCTTTTATATTGTTTCTTCATCCTCATTCCTGTATTTCTGATGAAGATGGACGGAAGAAGAAAAAGAAGAAGAGGCTCTGTTCTTCAAAGCACAGGTGCTTGGTTATGTTTTATTTTCCTGTAATTGTCTCTATCATCATCATCTTCTTTTTCCCCTGAATTTTAGTCTCGTGGTGTAGAGTGCAAATTCCAGTGTTATACTGAGTAGATGTTAGAATTTCAATTTGGTAAGGGTAGCTAGCTATCTCATTTACAATGTAATAGTATCTTCTTTTTTGTTTTGTTTTGGTATTGTTTGATGACAATGGTCGTGGTGATGATATTAATAACGTGAACTCGTGATGATGATAGAGATAGTGTAATTAAGTGAAAGAAATCGGAATTGGCATTCATCTAAAATGAAATAATTTCCTGGGTGTTACCATGTACAGGACATTGATTTGAGGTACAGGAGATGTCAGAAAAAGGCACTGAATACGGGAATCATAATTGAACCCCCTGTTTCTCACGGTTCACTTTTGAAGTGCTCCAAAGTTCTGCTTGGGGTAGATATAGATAAATGATGTAGTCTGAAATTAAGATTGCCTCTTAATCCCGGATTATCGTGAAAGAAGAGATTTTGACCTAGAGATCAAAGTTAGCAAAGAGGAGGCTTTTATTTTTCTGTAATTGCTTCCATGGAGTCTCCAACTACGCAGACAAACATAGGCCCAAAGAAGATGACGAAGCAATTGACAGGAAAACGCGAAGACACTCCCTTACACTCGGCAGCAAGAGAGGGACATCTAGACGCGGTTAAAGAAATCCTCTCTGGGACCGGAGATGATGAGTTGAAGGGCTTGTTGTCAAAGCAGAACCAGTCGGGAGAAACAGCCCTCTACGCTGCTGCTGAATACGGTCATGTTGATGTTGTAGAGGAGATGATCAAATACTATGATATTGTATCCGCCAGCATCAAAGCCAAGAATGGCTATGATGCCTTCCACATCGCTGCCAAGCAAGGGGACTTGGGTATGGCCCTGAAGAATTCTTTGTTTCTTCTTCTCGTAGTGGTTTCTGTTTATTGGCTTAAGCATATCTCTTGAACATGTTGCAGAGGTATTGAAGGTGCTGTTGAAGGTCCTTCCAGAGCTACTAATGACTGTAGATCTATCTAATACTACAGTATTGCATACGGCTGCAACACAAGGCCACGTTGAAGTGGTGAATTTCCTCCTGGAGGAGAGAAGCAGCTTGGCCACAATAGCAAGAAGCAATGGGAAAACTGCCTTGCATTCTGCAGCAAGGAATGGGAACGTGGAGGTTGTAAAGGCCCTTCTAAGCAAAGAACCTAGTATTGCCAAACGGAATGACAAGAAGGGGCAGACGGCACTCCACATGGCAGTGAAGGGGCAGAAACTTGAGGTGGTGGAGGAGTTGGTCAAGTCAGTCCCTTCTTTGATCAACATGGTTGATACCAAGGGCAACACAGCATTGCATATAGCGACCAGGAAGAATCGACCTCAGGTTGGATTACTTACTTTCATGACTTATTTTTCTGTTCATAAGCAAGAAGCCATTTCTTTGTGTATAGCCCACAAGATGAGATGCTATTAATTGTTTGGCAGACTTTTCCTCTGAAAAATGCTAATCTTGGAAATGAAAACAGATAGGCACAGAAAAGATTAAATACTAAATTATCAAGGAAGAAAAAAGATGAAGTTTAGAGTCCTGATTCAACCTATCCAAAGTTCCATTGTTTAAAGTTTCACCTGTTAATCATTCACTTTATACTATACTGATAAAGTTCCATTGTCTAAAAGTTTCATCTGCATATCACATTAACCTTTTTATTGGCCTTGAGTCGGCCCTTTTCCCTAGTTTGATTAATCTTGTGTGAAAACAATGAGGCTGAAGGTTCCCTTTTCACTTATTGTAAGACCAATGCTAGCAAATATTTTCTCGTCCTTTCTTGAGAGTGGTATTTTCCTTGTCAATAGAATTACGTTGAAGTTCAAGGCTTACAGCCTTTGAACCCCATGTGGATAACCTTTTCAAAGAGATGTCAACTTACTGAAAAACAGCTATCTTGCTTATCTCTTTTAAAGGTGTTGTATATCAAGGATATTGAGGGGTTTAGAAAGTAATTTAAGTAGAAGGTGAAAATTTTGTATTTAAGATTGTTCCAAAAGGTAGACCTCTGCAAATCTTAATGTAACAGGTAGCATAAAGGATCTCCATATATGAATACAAAGTATTTGGTTGTTCTTACAATTGTGGTGTTTCTTTACATAGAATATGTTTCTATATGTGCAGAAACTTGTTGCACAAAGGTCCTTTATATATCTTTTTGATTAATTAATACAAATCATACTTTACCTTATTCAAAAAGAGAAAAAGAAAAAAAAAATTACCAAGTCAATGTTAGTATTTTCTCTTCAAACCATACTTGTCAAGGTGCTAAGGCGAGGCTAGGCAACAGGGGATCTCCTTGTTACTTAGGCAACGAGTTTTTACATAAAAACCTGCTTAAATTTGCTTGTTTCTCTAGCTGCTGCTTTTTTTTTTTTTTTTTTATGGATAGCTTGTTACCCTTTCCTAGTCAAAGTAGCAACTTGAAAACATTAAATGTGATCTAAAGTGAATGAATTAAACATTAAAAATAGAAAGGGACTTTGAAGGCAAATTTGTTAAATTTCCTATGCCATTGACTTCAAAACAAGTTTCAGAATACCATTGGCCAACTCATATTAGGGCAATGTTTATAAACCAAAACCCTTAATTATAGTGTAAAATAATAAAAACTAGCTGACCTGTCCTAAATAAACTCAGAAATTTCCACTCTCCAAGGTTCCTAATTGCATTGAAAATTGAAACAAAAGCTAGAAAAAAGGTGTAAAAGAAATAAAGAAAAACAAACAACCAGCCCACTCTTTAGAAGAAAATATCCTGCATTTAAACAACACATCAATTAGATTCTAATTAAGACATTTAAAGAGAAGCAATTGCAACTTCTATTCCATCATCAATCATTGGATAAGAGAAGTTTCAAATTGATAGATCAAGTATCAACTCTATGACTATTCCAGTAGGTAATATCTTGCTAAAGAAGGGTCAGATATGAAAAGACAAAAACTAAGAACTAATATCACAGTTCTTGTACCTGAAAAAAAAAATAAAGAACTTCAAATAAGTGAGCAGCAAACTACTTAATGGGCATTCTGTTATAGTGGCATTATGACATACAGAATATTTATTCATTCTCCAATACTAAGAATGAATTATGTCTTACCTAGCAAAATAATAGATTATGTCTCATGACTCCCATAAGATGGCATACCACACCATTAAGATTCTGTCTGCAGATAAGAAACACTATATATGAAACCCCATGTTGTAGAGAAGCAACACCAGAAATATATTAAGCTAAGGAAACAATAACTAAACAGGAATCAAATTTAAGGAGCCAATGGAATAGTCAATGGAGAGGGAAATAGCATGATCTATAGGTTTAAAGCATACTTGTTTCTTGAAGACCAGACACCCACATTGAATCTTTCAAAAAGAGTTAAGCAGATAAAACATCAAGAATAACTCCAAACTAAACAAAGAAAAGTTGGATCCAATCCCTACCTGCTTTTTCCTCTTCTGTGTAGCCAGAAGGAAGAAAACAAACAATATCAGCAAGCAGCCTATTCATGTCAAGAATAAAAAGCTTTCTTCTGCAAGTAATGGGTGCTCTCTCTAATGAGGTAAAAAAATCTCTGTATTGGTTTATCCTCTCTTTGCATCTCACCTACAGGAACATCCGTTAGGGCATTTGTAGTTGATGTAGAAAGAACTATCTTGTCCTCCTTGCCATCTCTTGGAGATGCCTCAACATTTTCCTCCTCAATTTTACAACATTCCTTAACTGCTATAAAACTACATTCCTCACAGCATTTTCCTCTTTCTTCTTAGTTTTACAGCATTTTCCTCTTTCTTCTTAGTTTTACAGAATTCCTTACAGCATTTCCCTCTTTCTTCTGTTCCAGTTGTTTGGTAGAATGATAACAAGCCCAATCTTGTACACATCGGTCTTTCTTAGTCATATCTTCTGGTTTCACAGCAGAAATGCTAAATCTGGAGATATCTAAATCGTTCTCTTCATAAATATCTTGCTCCACAGTCATCTTGATTCCCCTTATACATTTTTTTACAGCAATTGTTTTGTCAGGATGGTTAACAGAAACATCATCTGTAAAGTCAAGGAGATATAACTCTTTTGAATTTGGCTCCCCATAGTTCTTACTTTGATATAATGACATCTGAACCTTAATTGACTGATCATCACTAGCAGTGGCATCTCCCATTTCTAGGTTTTGCATAACCTGCAGTTAGGTACAAAGACCCTCATTGTTAATCATCCCCGATGTGTTACTTGAGGAGCCAGACTTCTTCCCAAGTTCCTCTATATCATGTTTCCCATAAGGGTCCACTTCTCTAACAACTTTCCAGAGTTCCCTGAACTCATCATTCCTCTTCTGTACAAGGCATCCATCAGGATGGATAAGCATATACATATCATTAGAAGAACCATCTCCATCAATAGGTTTTCCTGACTTGTTCACCTCAAGGCTGTTCACCAAGGTAGCTGGAGTGTTTAAACAGTCAACGGACACAGATATTGGTGAACACTCTTCCAAACTTCTTTTCATTTCTTTCCATGCAAATTCTAACTTCTGATGCTTTTCGTTGCCCATTATAAAAACTCAAGAATATTCTTCTGTTGTAGCCATTTTCAGAAGAACAACTATAAGAGTGTTATCCCTCTTCGCAATTTCGTTCTTTTTTATTTTGTTCTTACTTTTCTCTAAGGCATGTGCACTGTCTGAACAAGCAACGGCAACATTTCCCATGCTAATTTGTACAATCTGCAATGAGCTGCTAACATACTTGTCTTTTTCTGGTTCCAAACCATCTCCTGAGGACCCAAACAACTTTCCTTCCTGCTTTTTATATGCTTGAACACTTTACACTAGGGAGGAATTACCATCAATTAACTTGTCACTCTTCTGAGTTGAATTAGCATCTGAACTTTTTGATGGACCACTGGTTTTCTTCAATGCCAGATTACCATTCATAAGCGCTCCATGTTCCTTCCCTCCAATAGAATCCATTCTTGCTTCTTCTAAACAGCAATTGAATCCAGCTTTTTCAAGATGTTCAAAACGTTCCACCTTTTATTCATGTGGGCTACATGTTTCCAGAAGCTTTTGGCCATCAACCCTCTTCTTCCATCCTGTCCTTTTCTGATGTGTGCCCCCCTCTGGCAACTCCAAGTTACATTCTTCCAGCAGCTTATTTTCAAGGCCATTAGAGCTCATGCTCCCATGTCTCCCCTTTTGGCCATCACAATTCCTTCATGATTTTCTCTTCATAAAACTGAGTCCAGATCTCCTCTGACCAATAATTCTTGGCCACCTTCCTTTATTGGATCCTGAAGCAGATCTGTCTTTGCAAGGATATCAGAGCTTTTCTTCTTTATCTTATTTTTTTTTATACCATTGCATTTTTCATGGTTTTCCTCTATTTGAAGTGAAGTTTCAGTGCTTGTTATTAACCATTTCTGCTCCTTTATTCGAATCCTCATTTTATTTGACTTTAAATCTTTGTTTGAAGGGGCATTATACCCCTTATTCTTCCTCTTTATCCTTGTGTTTATCATGCCAACTTCTCCATGGTTTTCTGTTCTATACAAAACTTAGCAGATATGTGGCTTTATTCTATTGGTGTGAGGAGATATAAGTAAAATATCTATGCATATTTATGTATGTGATAAATCAAAGAATGAAGAAAACAAACAAACAGGGCATCAACACTATACCATGTTGAATTTGACAAAGATATACAAGAGAAAATGTATGCACACACACACACACAGAGAGAGAGAGAGAGAGAGAGAGAGAGAATACTCTGTTAGAAATTGAGAGGAAAGTAGAAGAGGCTCCTTGTAATGAATACCATGATGAAAACCACTGGCTAAATCCTTACTACAATGAACACTTATTTTATATTTCTGTTTATCTTTGCCCCAAACCCTTCTTATGGACCTCTAATATAAAAACTGATCTATTATGATGCTCTTACACACCCTTTTCCCTTGTCTATACAATACCATATGCTTTAGCTGCACTACGCCTAAAATTTGTACAGCCCCATACAAAAATACCAAAGTAAGGCCTCAAGCAAACCAAAAAATGCCTTATTTCCTAAGAATCACTTGGGCGTTATCTTGACAACTTTGCTTCAAACATGTTTTTCTCATTTTCCATTTATAATGTGCATTTGTCTCTGATATATCATTTTATACCCAAGAAATCAATTAGTTTTCTCATTGATCTAATGTCTCATTTATTTTGTAACCTCCCATTCCAGCAAGGATAGCCTCATTGCCATCTTTATAAAGTTAAAATTACAAATAAGATTATATAGCTTTGTCAATTAGTATCCAGGATTTGATGAGGCAATAAACTATTACTCACTCT